TCGGTGGTAATATCCGTGACACGGAGACAGCGAGAAACCAAAAGGTATTGCCCGAAGCATAAGGAGAGACAAGCAAAAAATGATTCCGTATTTGTACATCTTCATCCCATTTCAGTCGAGGGAGGACAGATTGGGGCAACATAAATGGAAGGCTTGATCGAAATCAAGCGACACAAACCTGAAGAGACAGGGAAAGGGACAAGTCCAAACCGGGGCAAACGCTTCTGCAAAACTCCCGGTTGTCTCGATGGCCGAGAGAGCCGCCGAGAATTTCATGTCTCTTATGTTTGGCCCAGGTCTCTAATATTCTGTGCTTCCTGTCGGTACTCTACGCCGAGCCGTGCGAAGATCAGTTGTTTTAACATTGGTCGCTTCCTGACAGGCCTGTGGGGACTATAGCATCTGATACTGCCGCTTGGAAGTATAATAAAAAAAAAAAAAAAAAAAAAAGAAGTCGAGACTAATCCTGCCTGTCCTGACTTTCGCAGTTTCCTTCTCGAAACTCAGAAGCAGTATACTGGGCCCAGACAACGGCCGGGCATGATGAGACGCGATCATATGCTGTCCCGGGAGTGATGGTTCATTGGACGGCAAGGGGAAGATGCAGGAAGTTCCTGTGACCGTGACTTGCGTGAGGCGTCATCACTAATAGTTCCAGCTCACGCCCCACAGCAGAAACGCTGGAAGGCACCGAGAGAGGCAGGAAAAGCCAGGGAGAGGCAAGGAGAAGCAGGGAGAGATAAAAGGGCCAAGATAACGAAAGAAATGGTCCGGGAAGGCTTATCGTCGTTGAAAATTCGAGTCGAGCGACTGACTTGTGAGCATTTCTGACTTGTCTGCTTGTTTAGATGGCAGTCGTGAGCAACGGCGGGTCAAGCAATGCGCTCTGCGTGCCATTGGTTTTTATTTCATTGTCACTTGTGAATATCTCCGGTTGGATTTGGGCATTTCTAGTCCATGCTCCGCCCTAGCAGTATTTGTTGACCTTTTGCCTTTTGTTCTGATGATGTTCGCCACCTATCACCCACACGCTTCTCGCCAAAGTTCGTATTTGCTTTATTTGAGCCCAGCGAGGGATGTGGGCTCCGCAACGAAGTGGACAAAGACGGAAAATACCGTGACCGTTTGGAAACACGGAGAAGTAGACAAAGGAGTAACATTCAAACTTTTCGCGAGGCACTAGGGTTGTGGAAGAGATGAATCACATTGTCGAAGCACATGCGTCGTACTTAAAGTTCGTACCAGAAAACCAGTGCACCAGAACACCATAACAACAGAACATCACACTCGTACTTGTGGCCGGTGATTTGTCAAAGAACACAAGAGTTTTGACTGGCATTCTCAGCTAAAATCGTCATCGTCGCCTTCGTGCATAAGCTCATCGACTTGTTCCTGATTGGGTGTCTGGCCATCGACTAGGTCGTTTTGGGCAACCTCCATCGACCCGAGATATGCTACTACTGTAGCATTCGTGAGAAGATCCGACCTCTGCATGGAAGGATTGAGGTGTCAGCAAGAATTAGTACCAAAAAAAGCGACCGAAAGCAAATCCTCAAATGGGGTCCCCTTGTTGACAATTTCATTTGGAATGCTGACAGAGGTTACCATGAAACGGGCCACTTGTATCGTATGATTGTTCGTTCTCTCTCTCGCCCCGTGTGCTCCTGAACACTCGTTATTTCGGTAGCAGCTGAGGGTTGCAAATATCACGTTAGACTCAATACCTAGGTCCTCTCTGGTGCAGCTCCAGTACACTGTTTGTACGGAGTATGGTGCACGGCTCCTACTTGGGACCCGAGAATTCCCTGCGCTTTCTTGAGAGTTTTCCCCAACGTCGCCTGCCGTAGTGCCATCTTTTGTTCTTCACCGTTTTCGTTTGTGGCCCTAGCAAAACGCCAGTCCGAGCGGAGCCCATACTGTCGTCTAATGACCAAGTTCAACGTTGAAACGGGGCTCATAACGAGGGTCTTTTTGGGCGTGGGGTAGACTTGAAGTGACTTGGAGAGTGGCCATGGATCGCACTGTAATATCTCGTACTTCATAGTAGTCTCGAGAGAGGTTGTGTGCGAGTTTCAATAGGGTACTGGCGCACGACAGTACTTGAAATGAAAGAGATTGAACCATATTTTGTATCAAGCCCTGGGCGTTTCTCAAGCAAGACAGGCACAGAGAGACCAGCTGGCCTCCAGACTCCATAAGCATCTCCATGCCTCTGTATGTGGTAATGGGGTAACGGGCTGCAGAGGCGAGAAACAACTCGGAGTGGCCAGAACGGCGTGACGCGCTTTGTGGGCTTCACAAAATTGAGAATGTGAAGATTGTGGGGAGAGTGGGTGTGGGAGCGGGAGAGGGGAAAACAAATTCAAGAGAAATATAGGATCAGAAATCTGGGACCATCTGGGGCCAACGAGGGGAAGAAAAAGTGGCGGCAACAAGCGAGGAAAGATTCAATAAACCCTAAATTGTACGACTGGTACACGAGATGAACAGAGGCAGCGCATCAAACTGCCAGCTTTCGCCCCAAGGGACGAAGGGAAACCCCGGTGGTTATGTTGATGATGGCTGTGCCTTCATTGTAGTGATGACCTTTTGAGTCACAGGGGAAGAGCATGGGGAAGTCAATCGTCCATTATTCGCTTGTCGGCTTGAAACTCACCTCTGCTTCCAATGCTTCCAAGGCTGCGCTGAGGATCCGTGATTCGACGTCTCGCAAAAGTGCGGCCTGCTTGGCCACAGCACTGCGAATGCCGTCGTCGAGACCAGAGCTCTCGTCCTCCATGTTGGCGTCATTATGCGTCGCATTGTCGTCGTCGTCATCGTTGTCGTCGTCGCCGCTGCCACCGTGGTCGTCCTTTTCTGCTCCGACTGCCTGCATGCGCTCCAAATGCGATTCGATAACCTCCTGCAGAACCGTTACGACTCGTAAACGGAAGATGGGCGCCATAGTGTGTTGATTGGAAAACATTTCAAAGTCGCGTGCCCTGTCTGTGACGTCCTCATCCTGCCAGAACATGCGCAGCTGTGTCGATCCATCTGTTTCCTGACGCAGACGAAAGTCGATGCCATCCTCTTCGTTGACACACATCAGATGGACAAACGGACACGTCCAGCGAACCTTTCCTGATGGACTTAAGTTCCCTCCAGCCTCATTGTTGTCGTCACTATCATCTCCATCGTCCACGCCCAGACGTTCGATCTCCAGTCGTGGTGCTGGCGCACCGAATACGTGTAGCTTTGCCTTTGCCAGAGGATCATCCGGAAACGGTCGGAACGGAAGGACGAGGCTGTGCCGAGTCGACGCGGGATCGATGAACCCGTAGCTGAAAAGCATCTCGGATGCAGGTTTGAGGCCGCTGCTGCCATCACCAGAACCTGCCCCTCCATCATCTTCTTTACTGCCGCTGTAGCTGATGGTGATCTCGTCAGACGCAGAAATAGTTTGCTGTGGCCTCGCCAAGAGAACCACGCCAATATCGTCGCTGGCTACTGGCGTGGTTGGGGCTTCCTCGTAGTACGCGTTTGGCTCGTCGCTGTGGTTGACCATATCGATGCATGGCACCATGGATGGACCATACCGCGGGAGGTCAAGGCAGCGCGAGCGGTACCAGGCGTCAACCAGAAACCAGTGGCGGAGCTCTGGTCCAGACGTGCGCTCCCAGAATGCAGCCTGCCAAAACGGGATGTCTGACGAGTGCTCGCGCAGTTGATCAAACTCGGCCTCCAGGGCTATGAGCTTTGCGCCAACCGCAGACTATATATTATTAGAGGGACACAAAATCTTGGCAACACAACAGCAGTCATTGACCTACCTCGAGTGAGGTACCTTGGAGCAGCAGGCGTTCTGCATCTGTCCACAGGGTTGGCAACAGCACGTCTGCAGGCAAGAACCGAACATACTCTGTCCATGGTGTGGGCAAGGAAGCCAGGTCCTCGTCGGGCTGTCTTAAGCCCAGCACGAGCTGCACCAACAGAAAAAGGAGTATATCACCACGGGCCGTTTGGTGACCGACGGCATCGAGGAGCAATCGAAAGTTCCGGTCCTGTTTCGCGTATTCTTCGACGGCCTCAACATGGAGCACGAGGCCATGTGGAACGGAAATCAAGGGCTTGCCATTGCCATCCGTCTGAGAACTCGATTCGGAGCCAATGGAAACCAGCCCAAAGCCTTTACCGGGGATAGCGGAGATGCGGGTGTTTGTGAAGGTGACGTTGTTCAGTGTCTCCCAGAGCGGAAGTGACGTGATAGGCAGCTGCGCATGGGCCATTACGCAGAAAATGACAATGAATAAATAAATGAAAAAGAAGAAGAAAAAGAAGAAGAAGAAGAAATAAGTAAGATAATGGAGGAGAAAGGGGAGAAAGGGTAAAGTCAAGATTCAGGGGCACAAAAGAAACAGGGCAAGAGCTTTTCGGTAGCTGAAGTCCGTGGCTAGGAAGGAGCAGCCTGGAGCAAGGTTGCGGGACTGCCTCGGTATTTTCTTATCGTTCCTGCCCAGGTATTGCTATTGAGCGTGATCAAGTGCGTATTGTTTCCAATTAGTATGCATTTAAGATGCGCTGGCTTGGGTAAGGAAGGAGCTGTTCTTTTCTCCTTCCAGGTTTGACTTGCGACTGGCCATCACCTGTCACCAAATACGTCCTTGACGTCAAATACAGCCACTGGATTGGTTGATATTCCACCAGCCTCAATGCGCCAGTCGCCCTCCAAATTGGCGGGGCACCGTACGGAGCGCAAAGCATATGCTAGCGAGAAAGAAAAGCCTAAACTAAAATTTTCTAGCGGGGCAGCCCACTGCAAAGCCACTGCGAGTCCAGAACTGGCCAATGCAGGGCGCCTGCGCATCCCGCACCAGGAAAATCCCAAGCAAAATTCATGAGACATGCGCCATCGCGACGAGGCTGCCTTTACAGAGTGTCTCGCTCGCCGCGCCACATCCGGACCGACCCAGAGGGGCTTTAACGACGTCTAGGGCCGCATTCGACACGTCTCGCTGCCCATCATGCCTCGCGACCCGCTCATTGGGCTCGTCGGCAAACCGAGTGCCGGCAAATCGAGCATGCTCAATTCGTTAACAGATGCCACGTCCAAAGTTGGTGAGTGATCCTAGCGGGTTAAACCTCAGAGCTGCTTGGGACATGGGACTGATAGACACTCTCTGACAGGAAATTTCCCGTATGTACCCCCACAAACACTCCCGACCGACGCCGCCACCCCATCCTAACCACAGACCGCAGCTTTACGACCATCGACCCCCAACGAGCGGTCGGCTACCTCCAGGTCGACTGTGCCTGTGCCCGCTATGGCGTCACAGAGCGCTGCAAACCCAACTACGGCGCGTGCACCAATGGTCGCCGGTCCGTGCCCATTGAGCTGCTCGACGTGGCCGGACTTGTCCCCGGTGCCCATCAGGGCAAGGGTCTCGGCAACAAATTCCTCGACGACCTACGCCACGCCGACGCGCTGATCCATGTCGTCGACGCCAGCGGTACTACGGACGCCGAGGGCAAGAACACACGGGGCTATGACCCGTCCGTCGATATTGCGTGGCTGCGGTCCGAGATCGTGCAGTGGATCAAGGGCAACCTGGTGGAGCGATGGCCGGCTATCCGGCGGCGGCACATTGCCGCAAAACAAACGGCTGTCGAGACGATGCAGAACCAAATGTCCGGGTACGGCAGCACGGCCAAGCTGATGGCGCGGACGCTGGACCGGCTGGCGCTCAAGGAGCCGCTGGAGGCGTGGGACGATGCGCTGCTGGACCGCGTGGTCAATGCGTTCACGGACGACAAGTTCCCGACCGTCATTGCGCTCAACAAGATCGACCACCCGGATTCGGACCGCAACATTGCCAAGATCACCAAGATGATGCAGAACGAGTCTGACAAGATCGTGCTGTGCTCCGCTGTGTCCGAAATCTTCTTGCGCAAACTGGCCAAGCAAGGGTACCTAAAGTACACCGAGGGCGGCGAGTTTGTAGACACGCGCGAGGACCTGATTGCCGACGGCGACCCGGAGGGCGGCAACCTCAAGGAGATGGATGAAAAGAACTTGCGGCGCATCAACAATCTGCGTGATATGGTCATCTACCGTTTCGGATCGACGGGCGTCGTGCAGGCCCTCTCGCGGGCGGCGGACGTGCTGAACCTGATCCCCGTGTTCCCGGTGCGCAGCATTGCCGCCCTTACTATGGCACAGGCCAGCGCTGCCGCCGCCGCCGGGTCAGCAGATCCGACAATGGGCGGCCCGCCACCACTATCGGCCGCAGAGGCGGCAAAACCGCTCTTCCGAGACTGTGTTCTGGTCAAGAAGGGCAGTACCGTGGCCGAAGTGGCGCGCAAGTGCATGGGTGATGCGCCAATAGCCTACGTTGAGGGTGCTGCAGGCACACGCGTGGCTGAAGATGACACCGTGGATGTCGGCAAGAACGATGTTAGTATTTACGTCCGCATTTTGAGATGCACGTTGTCAATAGCAAAGGCTAACGCTGCTACAGATCTTATGCTTCAAGGTTGGCCGCATGTAATGAGGGCACATCAGCTTTAAAAGGAGAGACACGCCGGTGATTTAAAGGACATGCCGCGGCAGACCAGGGTGTCTGGGAGTGCAAACGCAATTGCAATCAATGTACTGCAGATCGACCTTCGCCGGCATGTAGACTAGCAGGTTGGACAGGAATTCCCAAGCCTACGAGTCCGAGCCCAGAGTTGTGGTGAAAACACGACGTCTTATTGGGCGGGCAGCTTCCATACCATATGCGCTGGTGGGTTGGCCTGTCCGGACAACGGGCCAGAAAACACCCGTTGCGGCGACCCCGAGGCAGTCCGTTAGATGTGGAAGTTTTGGTCGACGCAGATATCTGGTCCAAAGGGTGCCAGAACACAACGGCCTGCCAACATCACTGAACGTTATGTCAACGGTATTTTTCACCAAAACTAGCGCAAGATATAATAATAAGCTCGAAATGAAGGAAGGGTATCAAGATTTCATTGTCTTTTGCGTCGACGCGAGCCGACAGCGAATTAAATAAGGGAACAAAACCCGATGCTGATCGAAATATCAAAACAAAAATGAAAAATAATTAAGAAAGCCGAGACAAACATGCGAAAAATAAAAAGCAACGCAAATCCCAAGAAATCGTAGAAAGCAATTGTCGACAAATTCACCGTAATCGAAATTGCTCGGACATCTGCACGAAAGATGCCAGGCGATCTGATTTGAGGTTCCACCTGTTCGACAACAAGAGGGGATCGTTGGGAGGGAAATGAGATTCCGGAGATGGCGAAGGTGCTGTTTTGGTTGCGTCTGCTGATGCCAAGGCGCCAAGCCAGACATTGCTCTGTGGACCATGGTTGGCACAGGCTGCGTTGCTTTTACGGCAAGAAGGCGGTCCAAGGCGCGAACGGAGCTTTTGTTTTCGTTGTCGTCATCAACGGAATTGCGCCAAATCGCGGGCGACCCATGCTGGGCTTATCGACCGACTGCTGCGTTCCTTTGGCTTGTCGTCTCCCGCAACGGCCTCCCTCATTCTACTCCATTTTCGGCCTAATATTTCAGAATGATGTACAGGGCGTGGAGGATGCCGGGAATGTAACCTAAAAAGAGTATTAGCTGTGGGTCGCATTTTACAATACGATGGCGCATCGAGATGAGAAAGCTGGAGGCGAGAACAAGAACATACCCAGGATGGTCAACAGGATGTTAATGAGCAGGTCGGCACCGCAGCCACGCTCGAGGAAGACACCCAGAGGTGGCAGGATGATGGCAAGGATGATCTTGCAGATGTCGGAGGTGGTGAAAGGCATTGTGGCGGTTGGTGAGAGAGTATCTCGAGATGTGTCTTGAAGTGTTTGCGTGAGAGGAAGATGATTGGAGGTCTGTAGTACAGAAGATGCGAAAGTGAATTGGATGAGGGCAAGAACAGGACAGGAACAAAGACACGAAGGCGAGGGGACATGCCACCTTTAAGTATCTGTTTGTGACTGGTGACAAGAGCCACGGAATGGGATTGGCGCCGAGGAGCTTGTCTGAGTACGCATCACAAGGAACAAGGCGCTACGCTGTGTGATGTGCAGCAAGTGGGGGAAGGCAAAAAGACACCATTTGAAAACCGGACGAGGACGCAGGAGGGAGCCAGATGGCCGGGCATTGGGGATTGGCGGCCTTCTGTGACGAAAGAGGAAAGAACGTACCGCGTCCTTCGTCGACAGGCAGGTGCGAGGCGATGGTACTTGCCGCGGTGGGCGGGTTCTGTGGGTTCTGTGGGTTCTAGGGCAGGGGGGAGGGGATGTACTGCGTCATACAATCTTTCGAACGAGGCAATACTAGCGTCATGTCTCTTGGATCAAAGATGCATTGGCATTACTAAATGAGCTTGGGCGCGCAAAGGACGGATGACCGTGATTGGCAACCCTGGTTGCCGTGGCACGACCCCGTCCTGTGGCCACCGCCGTTCGTGCTGCTTTCTTTCCAGCCACTGCTCTTGCGTATTCAATCCCTTCCGTAAACTCCATTGCATCTTGCGTTTTTGTCCAAGTGACCAGATAACGTCGCCGTAACCAAGGAAGGAGCAATCAGCAACAAAACATGCATTTGAAACGGCGGCCGCGATGGCAGGTACAACACATCAATAGTGCCCCGGCGGTTAGTGTAGCTTAGTGAGAGCTCGAGGGAGTAGCTGACAGAGCTTGCCGGTCCGCCTTTCTATTTTCCATCTTGTATTCTTCCTCTCCTCGAGCCAGATTTGCCAAAAGCACAACTTATAGAGCACAATCTCCATGATACAAAATACTATACAGGCTTGATACGACTGGTCCAGCATTTGTGCCGTGTTTCTCTGTCGAAAAAACCTTTTTACTTGCGTGGTCCAGATCCACTGGACGAAATGAAAGCGCAGGAATTACGTCACTACCACGGCGCTAATCTGAGCGATGGCGTCCACAACGGGAAACAGGAGACCTACGGCAGTTCCCCCCTGCTTCCTTAAAAAATATGATGCAATCACGTCTCCGTAATGGCCCATGACATAACTGATCGGGATAAGCGATCGATAGCTCTTTCCTTTGCAGAATCTGTCTGAGAATCGTGGCGTATTGCCGCACAAGCCACCTCTGTACGTTTTCCTCAGCAGGCTTTTCTTCCATTCCTTGCCACTTGGCAACGGTAAGTTTAGATGACTGTCTTGACGCGCTCGAAATAGAATCAGGGCTGCCTTTTCTTGGTTTCGAACGTTGCCTGTAGCTCGCTGTCCGAACTACTACCAGAATCGTGGCAGGGTTGGTAAAAACAAGTGATGCTGAAGTGGCTCACCAAACAAGGCCGAGTCTTTGGAGCCCAACGAGAATAATGCAGGCAGCCCGGTAGTAGACTAGTGCGTGTGGATAGTTGCATTTGCTCGCAGACCACATTCACGTGACTTTTTAAAAAAGCAAGCCCTAACATACTTATCGATAACACCTAATTTTTTCAGTCCTTCCTGCGAAAAGTGGGGCTATCTCGTCTTTTCTCGCTCGACTTTCCTAGTTCCATTCTCGCGATCTCCCACGGAACAACCACTTTTTCTCGTCAACCACCACATCATTCTTCCCTGACAGCACGCAGGATTCGACTTCTTTGCGTCCACCGTCGCTTTTCTATACATCAACCAAAGTTTCCTTACCTTCCCTAGTCTGTACAATGGCTCCTCAGAACGTACGTATATTCCCGCGATGAAGACCTCGACGATGCGAGACGAACGATGGCGATGCTTTTTGTGGTAGAACAAAAGCATCGCCGTCGCGGCCTCGTCCCTCAGCCCTTGCCCTTGTCCCTTTGAAAGACAAAACGAACCGCTTTGCTGTTTTTGTGGGCATCTCTTTTACATCCTGTATACCCCTCGTCCAAAATCAATGCAGCAGGCTAAAGTTTTGTTTTTTCCCCGTTTGTAGAAGAAGTCCGGCAAGGCCGCCAAGACGACCAAGAAGTTCGTCATCAACGCCTCGCAGCCCGCCAGCGACAAGATCTTCGATGTCGCCGCTTTCGAGAAGTACCTTACGGAGCGCATCAAGGTCGACGGCCGCGTCGGCAACCTGGGCGAGACCATTGCCATCTCGCAGTCCGGCGACGGCAAGATCGAGATTGTTGCCCACAACGACCTGTCGGGCCGCTACCTCAAGTACCTGACCAAGAAGTTCCTCAAGAAGATGCAGCTCCGCGACTGGCTGCGCGTCGTGTCGACCTCCAAGGGCGTCTACGAGCTCAAGTTCTTCAACGTTGTCAACGACGACGACGCTGAGGATGACGAGTAAGCGGTTGCTTCTTCTCTGCAAGGCGACTCGAGGCGAAGCAGCGACAAAAAGACAAAAAAAGGATCAAAACTTTGGCGAAGACGTGCAGATCAGTCGGAGCGAGACGATGGCATCCATGTCGTCGCTCGTTTCCCTGTGCCTCTACTATCGGACTCATGACAAGGCTACTTAGCCATGCATGTCCGTATCCTCCAAAAACATTTAGAAAAACACAAAAGCCGGCAAATAATGGAATAAAAGCTGTCATTTGGGCCCCAATATTGTTTGCAAATTGCACGTGTGACATATGTGACATATGGATGTGATTTCAATGGGAAATTTGTAAGCGTGAAGAGGAGATTTCAAACTAGTCAACAGCGACACAACCAACATACCTAGGCTCCAAGATCGTAGTAGATGCACGTCCCCGTGCGGAAGTTGTACACGAACGCATTCCGCGACCGACTGCTGTTGCTGCCCTCGTACTCGGTCCGCCACCGCAGTAGCATGTCCTGGATGTCCCGGGTATACTTCTTTTCGACCGAACTGACGCTCTGCTCCACGCGCCGCCAGCTGTCCGGGTCTGAGAGTGCCGTGCCGCGAATCAGGTCGAGCACCTGGTCGGTCGTCTCGACGGCGGCAATGGGGCCCGACAAGAAGGATCGCACGAGCCGCGCCGCGCTGACTTGTGCCTGCTCGACGACAACCTGGCGGTTGAACTTTTTGCTCTTGGTCTGGCCCACGAGGACGCGCACTTCCTGCTGCTGGCCCTCGGCTCCGCCGGCACGGTCACCCGCACCGGTGTGATGACTGCCACCGACCGACGACGACTCGAGGGACGATGAGGCCACGGCCGCGGCCGCGGCAGCCGCTGCTGCTACCTTGACGGCGCCGGTGCGTGTGGAGTCGCGCTCGCGCATCTCGCTGCGCAGCCAGCTGACTACCTGCGAGAAGGGCAGCTCGACGTCGGGTGCGGCATAGCTTCTGTGAAGGGCGGCCGCACTCGACCCGCCGCTTGCGCCTGATCCTGCGCCCGCAGAGGGCATCGTCTTGATCTTGACAATCCCTTCCGGCTTGACGATGATGATCCACGCGTGGCCCTCGTCCCGGTTCTTGAGAACAAGCTCTTCTGTCGACCGAGCATCACCGGCCAGCTCGGCGCTGATGTCGTGTGCCCACAGTGTGCGAAGCAGTTCCACACCAACGGAACGGAGAATGGTCGGATCGAAACTGGCCACAAGGATGTCGCACTATTCCAGTCAGCACCATACCATGTCTGAAATAAAAAATAAAATGGGTTAGGGGCATTGAAGATACTCACCCGCTTAACAGAAAATGCACCCAGCGTCTCTTCCTCAGCTGCCTTCTTTAAAAATGCCTTGCCACTGGACCGCGGCGGCGGCGGCGCCAGCTTCTCCCAGTTCAGACTGAAGCCCACGGCGTGGCGCTCGTCGGGCAGGTTGGACCCAAAACGGGGCCGGTACTCCTTGATGAGACCATCGTAGCGGCCACCCGCAGCAAACACGTCCTTGACTTTCTTGTCCAGCAGGCATGAGAACATGACGCCGCCCGAGAAAAACGCCTCGTTCCATGTGTTGAGCGGGCACACGTAAATCTTGGACGTAACACCCATGCGCTTGCAGTACTCGTACACCTCGCGGAGGTGGGCCAGGGTCGACGACGCGCGTTGGTAGGCGTCGGTGCCTTCGAAGAGCGCCTTGAGCTTGGCGTAGGTTTTGCTCGGGGTGTCGCGGAAGTCAAACTTTTGGAGCTCGTCGATGCTTGTTGTCGATGCACCGACCAGTGGCGAACGCAGCTCGCTGCGCAGCTTCTGCCACGTCACGTTGTGGATGTTGAGCCGACTGAGAACGTCGGCAACGGCGCGACGGGCTGACTTTTCGACGCCACAGAAATCAAAGATGACCTGCAACAGGTCGGAGTGACCGAGCTGGAAGCAAAGCGGGTTGGCGCGCACCGTAGGGAACGCTGCTGTAATTTCGTCAATCACTTTAATAACCTCGGCCTCTCGCAGGGCGAGATCGAGTGTGTGGGTCGTGATAAGGTCAAAGTCCACCTCGCCAAACATGCTCGGCTGGCCGCCGCCCGGACGGTCGCGGAAGATGCTTCCGAATGTGTAGGACTTGCCCACCACGTTGCTGCCCGAGGAACAGCGAGCCAGCGCACGCGCGTTGCCCATTGTCAGGTCAAACGGCAATTGCAACAGATTGCCGTTCTGGTCGAGAAGCTGCACGACATTTGCTCCTCCGTACAAAGAGGAACGAGGATATAGCGAGCTGCGTGTGGCTTCAACGGCACCATGGCGTCGGAACACAGAGATCAGAACCTCTTTGACAATGTGCTGGCGCATCAGGTCTTGGGAGCTCGGTGGCGCCTGCGTCTGCATGGACGACATATCCCAGGCGTAGTCTTTGGCCTGCTCGACGGGGCGTGCAAAAAGCATCGACAGCATCTTTTGGTAGTACGGGGACGACGGGTCAGAGAGCTCGGACAGTGCGTGCCGGATTGTCTCGCTCTCCATCTGCACCGGTAGTTTGCCGCTCTTGAGAAGCTCGGCCCCTGATGGGCGTTCCTTGGGGTTGTGCGTGAGGAGGGCCCGGATGATGTCAACCTGCGACTTGTCCTTGGGCTTGAAATCGGACGGCAGGACGGGCGGCGAACTGCGTAGCTTGCCGAGCACATCGGCCCGTTGCATGCCAATCATGGGAGGATAGCACATCTCGAAGAAAATGACACCAAGCGAGTACATCTACACACAAGTTAGTACGTGAAACAACTCAGTAGTGCACGGGGAAGGGGGCGCTACATACATCGACCTTTGAAGTATAGGAGCCACTACCTCCTGACCGAACCTCGGGCGCCACATAGACAGCCGTACCGATACTTCTCGTCTCGTCGGTGGCATCGATGTTGCTGGAAGCATGGACGCGGTCATTTCCGCCAAGCTGGCCCGTAGTGGCTAGACCAAAGTCACCGATCTTGACGCTATTCACGCCGTCGACACCGGCGCCAATGAAGATGTTCTCTGGCTTGAGGTCACGATGCACAATGCCAAGCCCGTGGATGTGTGCTAGGCCCTCGAGCAGCTGGCGGAAGAGGCGCCAGACCTCTTGCATGTCCTTGGACAGGTTCCGTGCAATCAAATCGCGAAGAGACTATAAATGTTAGTAGAGGATGCCCACATGGAAAGTCGACGAGGATGTGTTGGCGACATACCCGCTTTTCGCAGTACTCCATGGATATGTACATGATGGTACGACCGGGTCGTTGGCTGCCACGGCGCTGCCGCTTCCAGCCAGTGATACCGAGGCGCCCGTTGTTTGTCTCAGTGGCTTTCGAGTCCTCGTCAGAGCTAGAGTACGCAGCGTCACTGCCATTGTCGCTATCATCACTGTCGCCATCGTCTTCCCCGCCATCTTCATCGTCGTCGCCGTCATCATCCGAGTCCGACTCGAAGGCAATGTTGGGGTAGCCGCCGGACGACATAAAGTCAAGGCCACCGCTCTTGGTGAATTCAATATTGATGTCGTCGTCGTCAAAGTCGTCTACTTTCTGCGAGCTGTAACCGGCCGTCGACGTTGCTGCATCGCCTTCTGACCCTCCAAAGTCGTAGACCTCTTCTAGCCAGGCGTTGTAGTAACGAACAACCGCTGGGTGGCTGAGCTGTGATAGGAGCCGAACTTCTTTGAGAATATCGGTCACCGTGAGACTGTCCTGCCGGCTTTGCGAGATGGTAATCTTCTTGATGGCATAGATCTGTCCGTCGAGCTTCTTTCGCGCCTTGACCACCTCGCCAAAGCCACCCTTGCCGAGGCGGCCCTCCTCGATGAAGTCCTCGCGGTACCGCGACGCTGCAGGGCCGCGTGTCATGGAATCGTGGCGGGTACGCTGAGGTAGGCTCTGTGGAATGGACATCATGGGCCCGTCCATCGAAAAGCCATCGTCGGCCAAGATGGGCGCGTCTGTCGCTAGGAACTCACTGGAGCCCAGATCAAAGGCGCGGGGCCGCTTTTTCGGATCAGGCATAAAGAGCTTGGACACCAGCTCTCCGAGCGCGTCTGATAAGTTATGCGATTCGATCATGTCGCGCGGCGAATGATATTTCTGGGGCACGTCCAGGCCGAAGATCATTTGCAAAAAGACGACACCAAAGTCCCACACATCTGTCTTTTGGGTGTATTGGGGGCGGGACGCGCCTGCGATTTCCGGTGGCAGCCAGTACGCCGACCGGGCCGTACGCATCGATGTCATAGTAGGTCCTGTCCGCGAGTATACATTGTGCATTAGTCGCTGATAGGAGGCATCGGCAAGCTTGGGCACAATGTCGCCACTGGCATCACGGACGAGCAAGATGTTGCTAGGGTGGATGTCCTCGTGCAGCATGCCATGGCTGTGGAGGTAGTCGAGGGCGTCAAGCAGATCGCGTGTCCAGGCCCGCACTTTGTTCACGTCGAGGTGACCAGCCAACTCAAGAACATCCTCGAGTGATCCCTTGTCCGCCAGCAGCGTGAGGACACTGATCGTCCAAGTCGTCTGTTCCTGAGCGACCGAAGACGACGTCTGGAGCTGCTGACTCTGTGGCACGCCCGAGGTACGAGACGCCTTGGGGGGCGGGGAAAGATGGGGCGATGTTTGCGACAATGGCTTCGATGGTGATGCCGCCCCTGAACCGTTTTCTCCTTCGACCGTCGATGCGCGATCAATGCGGAAGTCGATGACGTCGAGGATGTTTCGGTGCACCTTCTGGCGCCGGAGTTTCTTGAGCGACTTGAGCTGCGTCTCAAGGGACTGGATCTGCTTGATGGCTTGCACAGAGTCCCTTGCACCTGGCTGCAACTCCGTCTGTTTCAGGGCAAGGCTCCGGGGCTCCTGGTCGCTGCGCAGTACGGGCCGCACGACGTAAATCTTGGAGACGGGACCCGTGTGCAGGAGGAATTTGCCCGTGACCGTGCGGAAGTAGATGGAATTTCCGGCCGTGTCCGTCAGGTCGCACGGCTCATCAAAGACCATGGTGTCGGGCTCGTTCAGTCCGGTGCCGCGGTCGGGCGACACATTCGCGCCGTTCTGGGCACGGTTCTTCTTGCGCATCTCCTTCGCCTTGGTGCGCTGCCGCTCGCGCTCCTTCTCGACAAGGGCGCCCAGAGCACGCTCTTCTTCGCGCGTCTCCTCTTGCCGCTTTCGTTCTTTCTCTTCGTTCTCGTCCTTGGCCGCCTGCGCCTGCGAGGCTTCGTGTGCTGCGCGCTCTTCCTCCAGCGACGGTAGGTCCAGGCCCTGCTCCTTGGCAATGGCGGCGTCCTCGATAACCTCGCGGATGCCCTCGACCAGATAGTCGATCATCTCCCTGTCCTCGGCGGCGCACTCCTTGGCCCGCGCCTCCATGACCTTTTGCACCTTGAAGAGCGTCGACTCACGCAGGCCTTCATGGTCTTTGATGGTCAGGAGCGGCACAGATTTGGGGTACGATGCCGTCAGCACCACGCCCAGTGTCACGGCAAAGTCCTCGTCCAGACTGGCCTTGATACGGATGTCAAAGGACGGCTCGGACTTCTTCCACGCACTATGCGCCGCCTTGTGCTGCACGAAATCGTCGCCATAAATGGCCTCCAGGACGGTCACCTCGTCTTGCTGGCGCTCCTCGTACTGGGTCTTCGCATCGCCCGGCTGGTTCTGGGGCGGGCCGCCGTCTCTAGGGCCCTGGTTCGCTGCATTGTGCTGCTTCAGCCCCGGGAAGCTGGTCGAGTCGTCTTTCTTGTTGTTTGGTTTCAAGGGCTTTTTGCCGGCCATCGTGATGTGGTCTTTGGTCTCGAGCGTAGTCTGACAGCCTGCGAAGGCTGCAGAGAATTACTCGGAGAGGCCCATATTGGCAATTGGCTGCAGGATTTCTAAGTGTACTGTAAGTAAGGAGGGCTGCACAGGGTAATAAAACGGGGCAGATCGTGACTTGACGTCTCGTGCCGTGTTTTTGGCGATGTTCAGACGAAGATGAGTCAAGAACGAATGGCCGCCACTGCAAAGCGTTATCGGGTAGCAGCGATGGGCGCGATTGCGGGGCAAGGCCAAGCTACGCAGGGGCGGGGAGTCGAGTACGAAGGGCGTCCTGAAGTAGCCAGCCAAGCTAACGTACTGACAAGGCTGAGCTGGACGCTAGGCGATTTAGGCCATTGTTCAGCGGTCCATGGCCCATAAATTGACGCACTTAGCTTGCAGGCCACAGGCGCGCCACTGCTGGGCAAACATTGTTGCGCGCTAGTCCGATTAAGGACACTAAGTAAACAAGGGTCGCTTTGCTTTGCCTTGGTTTACCGCTGTGAAGCGGAACGTCTTCTTAGCTCTTTTTCATTTCACCAGCAATTACGGCTACCACTATCCCATATCAGCACGCATCGCATCCGAACCGGCGACGGCAGACGACCGTGTTCGCATGCAATAGCAATTATTTATGAAGACTCGCGACGCTTGATCATCCTTCACAATGCTCGGCTGGATGATAAAACGCGGTCTGGACGGCGGACGCGACGCGCCCGAAGACGAAGGTATGGACGACGACGCATAAAGACGACACCTCCTGATCATGCCAGGCCGTGATTGTGATTCTAACGTAGTATTTCCATTTTCTAGACGACACGAGGATCGAGCAGCCAGACACACCAGGTCCTGTTTTTGCAGCGCGGGCCTTCAAGAGCGCCCTCTTTGGCACACCGGCGCGTCGAGACGAGACCGAAGTCGACGTCCAGCCGGCTCCCGCACCAGTACCGACGACACAGGAGTCTCTTCCAAAAGCAAGCGCGGCGACGGGGGCGGTACAAACAAAGAAAAACACGAGCACGAAAGACACAGGGGCCACGCCGGGTCGGTTACCCGGAATTCTCTTAACGCCCGGTACGGCGACATCACGCAGAAAGCGCGTGTCCTTTGGCCACGAGGTGTCTGGTGAAGGTGTCGACAAGAAGAACGAGCTACGAATAGACAAAAACGGCCGCAAACCAAACCTGTTCGGCGACAGCACGCGCAGCAAGACGCCTAGAACAACACTGGGGACGTCACTCCAGAACGACCGCAAGCAGAACAACAAACCCGCTGCCCCGAGCAAGCTGGCGGTGGTTGACAATGTGGCAAGCACAAACAACAGAGCTGTCGTAGACGAGATCGAGGACGACAATCTCTGGGAGGAGGTCGACGATGACGACCGGGACCCGGACATCACAGTCGACCTCAACGAGCCGCATTCCCAGTCGGGACGATACTGGAAGTCCGAGTTCCAGCGCTACCAGGAAGACGCCAAGGTCGAAATGGGCAAGCTGCTCAAGTATAAACAGTTGGCCAAGTCATACGCCAAGATGAAGGACGCCGAGGCAGCTGATATGCGGACCAAGCTCCAGGAGGAGAAGGAGAAGGTCACCGAGATGGAGGGCCGCATCACGGAGCTGGCCGACCAAATTGCGCGCAAGCGGATGCACGGTTCAGACCACGAATACCAAGAGCTGATCAGCGATCTGACGCGGCAGACGGCACGCGCCGTCCAGTACCGCAACCAGGTTAAGGAGCTGGAGGCGATGCTTCAAGACAACGAGAAACCGGCGACGGCCACCACGACTGTCGCATCACCACGCACGCAGCGGACACTCATTGACACGCAGCGGGAGCTGCGCCGTGCCCGTGAGCAGGCGAAGGAGCTGACGCAGGCCAAGGAAGAGATCCGGCGGCTCAGGAGTAAACTAGGTATTGCTGAGCAGCGCGCAGGTCGCAAGAATGAGAACAAGAACGAGAGCAAGACACTGGCAAACGACCTTGCAGCGTCTGAAGCTGCGGCTGAGGCGCTGGCAGCCAAGGTGGAAGATCTAGAGAAGCGGGCCCAGTTTGCCGAAGACGAGAAGCGGCAAAAGGTCAAGGAGCTCAGTTTGCTACAGCGCAAGTACGACTCGCTCAAGGACGACGCCAAGGCCCGCGTGGGCGAAGCCGAGCAGGTCATGCGCCGCAAGAACGAAGAGATTGCCGACCTAAAGAAGCAGGTTCGAAAGGCCACAGCAGCCGCCGTACGCCAACCCGCCCTGGAGCCACCAGTACAGATCGATGCTCTCAAAGATATCAAGGACATCAAGGATACCAAGGATACCAACAACATCAAAGACACCAAGGCCGGCAAGAACATCAAGACGATGGACTCCCCTGTTTCCGACAGTGCTGCTGCCAAGCTTGCCCTGTTGCGCCGCCGCCGCGGTGCGGAGCCACTTCGCCCCGTTGTCGACGCACCGCAGCCAACGGCCATACTCGAGAGCATTGGCACGAACCGCGTGCGCGGCGCTGAAAAGGAGAAACCAAAGGCGGAGCCGTTGCCTGAACGGTCTGCAAAGGGCGCCCCAGCAAAACCCTACAGACCGACAATTACGACATCGGCGCCGGCACCGCCACCGGCAGCCGAGCGAGACGACCCCGTTGCCGCGGCCGCCGCTGCTGCTGCCGATGCTTCGTGTTTGTCCATCTCGTCGGAACGGGCAGCTGCTGCAGTTGCACGGATAGAGAAGCGGCGGGCCCAGCGGAAGCTAGAACTGGAGGCATTGCGCAACAAGGAGAACATGCAACCGGCATGATGACATTGGCGGGCTATGTTGTGTTGTTATATGGATTGGAAAAGGGAGGACTATTTTTAAGCCATTGGTCCCTTTATTTATTTGTTTTTTTTGGGGGGGGTGGAGCGGGGGAGGATGCACGTCTTTGACAACCAGCGTATTTCTTTGCTGAAACGTTGCAGTTTTTTGGTGTTTTTTTGTTTTCGTTTATTTGCTTCTTCTTTTTGGTTTTTTATTTGGTATTCTTTTCTATGCATTTGTTACATATCCCTCCCACCGAGCAAATTGAACGAGCCTTTGTCACACAAATTGTCCGTGATTTCAGTAAAGGCATTGTTAATGCTTACCTTGACTTCCAGTTTTACCTAAAGAGTGATGACGTCGTTTCCGTTGCTTCTCAGCCGTTCGTTCAGCTCCCAATAATGCAACACGGGAGACCCATAACCGCTCGGTCGTTGCAAAACAAGGCTGGTAATGGGATTTCTGCAAGGCTGCGCGGCTTTGCTTCCTGGTACTGGTTTTGCGTTATTACAAGGTTCCCAAAATAGAACACTGGAAGGTATTTTTCTTTTTCAAAAAATTGTATGTAATATAAATCCAATATACATGGGCTAATCTACTGTATAATGATAGGTCAAAAACACAACTGATTATATCTCGAGCTTGCGGTTCCTGCCTGTCCAATACCCATCTATGCGTTATATGTAACCCGAGACCAAAAAAGGGCAATGCCAAAACGCCTTTTCGCCGCCAAAGAAGTCGTCCCCAAGACTTGATAAAGACCACCCAAGATTAGAAAATTAGAAAATCAAAGAATGGTAAACGCCCCATGCAAGTTGTGTAAAAGACGTAACCTCGAGAAACACCGTAAAAGGTTATGAAAAAACGAGTTGGAGACGTAAACGTAGAGAAAAAAGGATAGGGCAAAGGGAAAAAAGTGCGCTTATGAAAAGATTTCAGCGAGGCTCTCAAACTTGATCGGGTGTACAAGCACACTGCGCATGCACATGCGGCCGGTGCCCGCAGCCTCATCACCCGCTCCACCTCCTAGCCCGGCCCAGGTATCGTCTTGGCCGTCAACAGGCTTGGGTTTCGGTGCAGCCGGGTCATCAATGGGCTGCAGGTAGCCAAGCCAGCGACGCCACAAACGACCTGCAAAGTCCGAGTTGTAATACCAGGTCAAACCGCGGTGGTAATGCTCGTTGCCGGGATGGAAAGGCGACGCGTCGCTGGCACCGGAGGAGTGATCGGGTCCGGCATTGAAAGCCTTTTCTGCCGCGGCCAATGGCCAGTGGCGGTCGGCGTAGACTGGGTGCGGTGCGTAGACAGCCTTGAAGCCACGGTGCAGGGCGACGCTGGGCGGGAACATTTCCGCAAACATGCCGTGGTGAAGGCGCCAAGTTTCTTCGTGCATGGCGAAAAGAAGGCGTCGGGAGAGGCGCGAAGCAGTAATAATTGCAGTACGCCGGGGTGGAATCGCAAAGGCCAGATCGTAGCCGGTGACGTCGTTCGAGAATACCCAGCCTGACTCTTCGGCGTCGAACATCGGATTCAGCGTGATTAGGTCAGCTGCTTCGCCTACACCGCACGACCCCGGAATGTTGGTGTAGTTGTTGTTGCGGTCAGCAAAGAAGTGGCGTCCGGGAAGCGACGCCGTTCGGTTGTCTGCGGGTGCGGTGCGGTTGTACGTGCTCAGGACAGCGCCCTCGCAACCAGCAGGTAGTGGAGAGACACCGCGCTCTTCGTCGCGCGTTTGCGTACGGCCGGCAAAGTAGAGCTCGCCGAGAATCGAAGGGCGGCCGGCTTCATGTGCTTCGGCATCAACACGTGCAGTGAAATTCTCCCACGAGCCATGGAGCGCAGGAATGTAGTACTTTGCAGAGCGCTCCCAAAGGCGGCGACGGGGTTGCTTTTCAGCCCAAGAGCCGAGGCGGTCGAAAAATTCGTAGTAGCTGCCCAGGAAACGCATATCCATTTCCCAGTTCCAGTAGTGAGCGTACTCGGGGTGCTGCTGGGCGAAGTGTTGCAGAGGCAGGTGAGGCGAACGGTAGACACCGTGGATGTCGGCGTTGGCAGGGTTGTCGAAGGTCGGCTGGCCGCGCATGCCAGGGTACAACAAGCGCATCTGGCCCTCAGACCATAGCGAGACGAGGCCGCGGAACTCGCGTGGGATATTGTCGGCAATGAACTCCTCTGCCACCTCAGCATCGGCCCAGACAGGAATGTTCTCGTCGCGGGCGTGCAGTAGGATGTGCACGTCGTACTCGCCGCCGGACCGCAGAGACAGCTCGGAAACCAGCGCGCGCATGTTCAGGATGGAGTGGACGGACCACTTGAAGCCAGCGTAGCAGCGCATAACAACGGCCGTGCGTTCGATCTTTTTCAAGCCCAAGGTGTTGCTCGACGTCGTTTCGGATGAAGCATTTTTCTCCGCAACGTTGTTGGTCATGTCCATGAGATTGCCAGACGGCGAGTACTCGGTCGAGCGAGCACCCTGACTACCGGAAGGAACAAAACGGTCTTCGTTTGCCGCAAAGCAGCGACGCTGTGCCGAGGCCCAGTCGACGGTGCTATAGTCAATCTTGCCTAAAGTTGACGCCGACCAGATCTGGTTGGCGCCCTCGCGTTCCGTATCCAGGGCAAGGCCCGTGCCGCCCTCTTCCTTTTTGTAGCCCAGTCCGTAGGGGCCATAACGACCAAAGCGATCGAAGCAGACATCTTCCCGAAGACCCAGCAGACTGTGGGAACCGAGGAGAGGCTCGGGTTGGCCCTGAGGCACGCCCGGGTACGCCCACAGATCGGGAACAGGGACTTGGTTGGCGGCATCCAGATAACAACGTTGGACGGGGTAATACTGAGCACGGTACTCGGACGAATTGTAGTCAGGATGGGCGTTGAAGATGGTCGGCTTGGGTGTCGCGTTCTTGGTTGCGGAAGTAGTCGTGGATCTTCTCGCAGGTGTCGTTTTGGTGCCGGATTTGTCGTCGGTGCGCTCAGTCCGGGGCGCGACAACAGCATCTGCAGCAGCGCGGGAAGCATGCACTGCGTCGGAATATTCCTGGAGTCGCCCGAACCGTGTGTCTTCCTCCGTCGGGAACTCGGCATGGTATTGCTTTATTGGCACAATGGACCGGATGCCGTTGTAGTAGCCGTCGAGACTGGTACGTATGTTAGTCAGGACTTATCCGAAGCAAAGTCCATAAGGAAGTCCATAAGGACGAAGAGCAGGGCATACCGAGTGTAGTTGAGCCAGATCGACTCGGGGCTCGGCCCCTTCTTTTCTTGTGAAGGCTGCTCCTTGCGGAAATGCAGGCCATGGTGAGTATGGCTGTGCACCAATAAAATAACCAACAGAGCGCAGAGTAGACCGCCAATCCACAGCAAGACGCGCCGGTAGAGGCAGTGGCCGAAAATTGCGCGCAGTCTAGGTGACGTCGTCGGCGACCGGAGAGGTGACGAGAGGCCGGAGAGGGGGGCATAGGAAGGGAGCTCGATCCGGCCGGTTGGCAGCCATTTTAAAGACGATTTGGCGATATCGAAGGCGGACGATGCCTTGCTCAGGACGGGCATAGGCAGCAAAGATGCGTGCGCAGATGACAAGCCGTTGATGTTAGCAAAGCTGGCGATGCTGGACAGGCCAGTTGCACCGGCTGTCGGCTTTTCGAGGATGGAGAAGCTGCTGCGCCGGCTGGGCGAGGTACTGGAGGGCGATGAGCTCATGCTGGCCGAACTGCTGGCAGCGCCGGTGTCAAAGGTGGCAGCCCGTTCCATCCTGATGGAATGGTGGGCTAGGAGGTCGTCCAAGTCGAGGAGAGCGTATTATCGTAATAGCGTGAACATCAGATGCGAACGACGTAACCAAGAGAGGCGTCAAAAGGCCGGATATGCAAAATGGTCCCAGAGACGTGCCGTGCCGTATTTGAGACCGAAGGAAGAAAATGAAGGGAAACGAAAACAAGGACAACAAAAACAAACGATGGAATATTAAGAAAGAAGGGGTATGAATATTTCGAGAATAGGAAAGAACAATGACGACAGACTGTTGCTGTGCAAAAAGAGAAAGAGATACCGCGAAGAAGGAGTTAACGAGCGTGTGCGGGCGTTGTAGAATGAAAAAAAGAAAGTAGGTTGAAGTTATTGTAGCATGGGAACTTGCGAGCAGAGCCAGTATTGAAAGTGAGGTAAGGAAAGGGGGTGTCTGACGAAGATGGGGTCGTCTTGATTAGTCTTTCCTTCTTCCAACAGTGGCAAGTATTATGGCCTTTTTCGGAAGGCCCTTTTTACTTTTTCCTTTTCTTCTGTTCTGCGTCTTCTTATTCCTTCTCAGTTGAAAGATTGCGCTGCGTTTTTGGTTTTTGGTGCGACAAGAGAGAGGGGCCGTTTCCTCTGCGCGAGCGATAGACAAGGGACCGGGGGGGGGGGGGTAGTTAAATGATGGGTGTGCGTGTAAAGTGCGTGGCTGTTTGTTGTGTGCGCCGATGTGCAAAGTCAACAGAGGACAAATCGAGAGTTGGGAGGACGAGAGAGACGGTGAACGAGAGAACGAGAGAACGAGAGAATGAGAGAACGAGAGAATGAGAGAATGAGAGAACGAGAGAATGAGAGAACGAGAGAACGAGATTGACGAGAAAAGGACGAACGAGGCAAATGATCATGAAAGAGAAAATAAGGGAAGGAACGAGGGCAAAAGACGCAATCGAGACAAAAAAAGCAGCAACGACGAAAGACGAGGCCAAACCCACAGCAGGGAAGGAGCCAATGGCAGGAAGGAGGAGGAGAGACGATGAGACAAAGAAGTTAATCGTAATGGTGGGAACGCAGGAGCAACCGAAAAAGAAAAAGTCCACTGGAAAAGGAAAGAGAGGCGATAGCGTGGCGAACGAGTGTAAAAGCCTACGAAGTACGAAATACAGAATATTGACAACATGCAGACTACTGTCGCGGCGCGGCTCGGGTGCAAAAAGGAGACGTTCTACCGACGACGTGAACAGGATAGGAGACGGAGGGGCTAGACGCTCGACACCATACCCAGTTTTAGTTTAGTGGACCCATTGAGACCAGTGTGTTTTTCCCTTTTGTACGAAGTAATTCTGCTTTGTTATGAGACGCTAGTTAGTGCGACAGCAGCAAAGGCAGTAAACCGTTGTCTTGAGTTTTCAGCGCCGCCTGTTTTGCTACGATGGGCGGTCCTTCCTTGTTTTGTCCCTGCGCGAAATATTTTAGGTTGTGGCAATCACGCCGGTCGGGCCTGCCAAGTTCGCATTCCTTGTTTGCGTACCGCAAAGGAAGACAAAGGCGGCGTCAGGAACGGCGGCGCCAGAGCACATGTTGTGTACGCATGCCTGGCCGGCAACTGGCTATCTCGCCATGTGTCTGTGAAATTGTCTACATCGTACGAAGTACAAATGGCACATTTCCTGCTGCGCGGACAAGGCCCACTAACCGTCCGCTTTCTACAACACGCACCGGCATGCAAAGATCAAAAAGGACATGGATTAAAATGAGGGGCTTCGGGGCCTGTGGCTTGAACCAATATTGGAAGAGCAACGAAAATGAGTTAGAGTCGTGATGAAAAGGGAAAGAACTAGCTTCAGCCCGAGCTAGGTGCCAGGAGGTGGTTAATTGTACTGGCTGGGGATGGCCTGGACTGTCCTCCACTTTGTATGCCACAGATTGTTGGACAGAAACAAGAGATGCGCGCCAAGAACCAACTGCAGCCATGTGCCTGCTGCCTCGAACCACTGTCGCATCAAGCACCAATTGCGCAATCTCACAGATCCAAACATTGGATTTTGGCTGATTGTATTGGATCAACCAAGACGAAGCACGAAAACGAAAACAGTAGCAAAGCTAGACACGATACGTTCGTGAACGGACGGGCAAGGCCAGTCATGCAGTGTGACTTACTTGTGTTTACAGGGTGTATGTATATTAATTTAGGGTCTTGTCCGACGTCCAATTGAGCCTGAGTGATGCCAACAGCATGGGTTGTGTGCATTTGATATTAACTGCACATTCCTCCGAGGGTTTCCTCTTCTTGCCTTCCGGTTTTCTCTGCCGCTGTTTGTTTCGGTGCCTTGCGCGTCCGGTCCCTTCCTTCCCAGTTTGTTGTTTTGTCCCAGCACACTTTCCCTTCCCTTTCCCCGCCAAACGAACGACCTGCGCTTCTTCTTACGCAGGTCCGCGCCGCACGCCCGTTTGTGCACGACGGGAGGAAGGAATCCGGGCAGGTAAGATAATGCGTCGTAGAGGGACGGCTGATTGACAAAAATAACACAAACGTCATAAGAGGCTGCTGGGGTTGTCTGTAGTGACGTCGCTCGTCTACGGAGTACTCTCGTACCATTGTTTTTGTTTCGGATCTGGTTTGGAGTATGTCTCCCTCCGTCCTCGTCTCCCCGACTACTTCATACTTCGTACATTGCGGACGGCTGCGGGCTGCGACAAAGATCGGCATCGAAAGGTTCTCGGTTTCTTGTTTGTTCCCTGCTCGTTTTGCTTCCTGCGCGGTCGTTCGTTCTTGCCGCAATCGGTGTACTTGTAGGTTGCCCCCACATTTTGCATCGATCCTTCCTGCCCAGGTTGATCACCTCAATAATTCATCTTTGCTTGATTGCCAGCGAGCCAGCCTCCAGCGTCGTATTTTGTAGATGTGTTCGCGCAACCTGGTCCTCTCAGACATTGGTTGTCATGTCCGTTGCCGAATAGCAATACCGAGTCGAGCGCTCTTCGCATTGGCTGTCAGAGTTCATAGACTATCACCGGGCTCGTCATTTTAGACAAACCGCCATGTTGGAGGTGGAGATAAACTGAAGTGGGACAAACGGCGGATAAAAAGGGGAAAGACCCAACCGAAAGGGGAGTTAAAATCCTGTGCCTGCTGCCATTTGAGAAAAAGGAAGAAAAAAGGGGTTGCAATTGAGGCGCAGCACCGTCGCCACTCGCTAGAAGCAGAAGGCGCGAATAGAAGCAAATGGGTGGACCGCTGAAATTGGAGCAAAGCGTGCAGGGACGGACACACAAGGGATGCAACAGGGGAGGAAAGAGCGATAGTCTTTACCACACTCCTGTGCTCATACAAAAATGACAGGGTAACCATCCCCGCTAAAAATGAGAGAGTTTGGCGGTCAAATCTAACGAAATGGAGCTCGTCGCTCACCATTTTATTTCCAACTCTACAGGAGTGACAACCCCGCAAAAGGAGACAGGAGGTGAGGAAAATCTCTGGCAGAGAGCAGGCGGCGGATGAGCAGAACGCGGGCTTTATCACGTGGAAAACGAGGAAGCCAGAAAAGCAATCATTTTGCGAGTCAACGCACAGTCTAATCACTTGACGACGTACGAATATTCGTTCACCACGGATGACCATAACCGCAATGCCCTATAATCAGCTATCTACGACGCGAGAACATAAGGCAACGTATACGTCGTAATTACATTGCACGATGTCCTGTCCTCCATCTCGATGGCATTTCTGCAATCGTGAATCCCTCAAAAAGTCTGTGCAACTCGACCTCCCTGAAGACAAGCAAAAAGGTCGAAACAATCGTCAGCGAACCAATAATGTGAGCTAATGTGGAGCACCAGGTCGTCCTCCATGGCTCGCCGTGAGAACTTAAATGGCCAGCCAAGAAGGGTTCCTCAGTAGTGTGACGGTCTGGGCCTTTCACAGCCAAAGCCAAGACATGCTGAGCGGGGGACGGATTGCTTGGCAGCGCCATGATGCTGGGATCGTATTCAACGTCCATTGGCGAGCTTGTCATCATGTTGTGTATTTGTAAGACCGCTCTGTTTCTTCCATGCCGCCCATGTCTGCCGATATTGAAAGATCTGATATGGGGCACCAGCACGATACAATCCAATGCAAGCGCCATTCAATTCAACATGCATTGGTCGAGTTGACCTTTCCTGTAGGTGTCTGTTGTGCCCGTCCTTTTCTTTCGTTCACTATATCGTCTAGATGTGTGCTATGTTGATTTCGTCATGGCGAGGACGGCAGCCGAGGGTGGCGGCCCGTCGATATAGCTATTGCCAGGACATTTCCGAATCACTTCGAAGCAGTCCCAAATGTGGTCCAGACCTGAAACGGAAACATGGAGACTTTCTACGTTGTCGATGACAGCGGAGATAGCTCTCTTACAAACGCGACTACGGAGTAGATACCTTGCTTGGTCGCTCCTGCCATACCGGATAGTACAATGTGTCGGCTGCTCCTGACGCGCTTGTTGTTTTGAGCAGGCGGTCGCAACTGCCACTGTCGATTTCCAGAGAGTTTTACTCTTACTCACAGTCGCGCCTTCTTTAAAAGATAAGTTGCTCCGCGACATAGTTTCTACTGCTTCAGTGGCAAAGGAAAGAAGAAACAGGAACAAAAACGGTGTCATTATTGCTATCGTAACTTTGTCACTTTCGACACCATCCCGATCATGGATGTTCAGTTGGCGCTGTCCGCTCCTGCAGCCGCTGCTGGGCCCGCTCGTACTCGGCCTTGCGGCGCCCGTCGCGCCATCGGTCCACGCGGTCGCGCCACTGCTGGCCCCAGACGACGGCGGTCCACAAGGCGACGGCACTGGCCACCAGGAAAAGCGCACTGATGGTGCTGAACCAGCCGACGCCGATGCGCTCCGTGGCCGGCAGGACGACGGCGGTGCCGGCACAAGCAAAGAGGTAGCGCACAAAGTAGTTGGCGGCAATGACCTCGCTGCCGCGGCTCTGCATGACGTCGAGGCAGTAGGTGTTGATGCTGGGGAAGCAAAAGAGCTGGGCGACGCCCTGCAAGAACAGCATGATCACCGCCAGGGGAATGCCGCCGACGCCGCGCTCGACGCCCCAGCCATACACCAGGACACACGCAGGGATGACGCCGCCCAGAAAGGGGAGGGCCGAGCGGAGGCGGTCCTCGGGGACGCGCTGGCCGTTGCGTTTCTTGATCCAGCGGCGGACCATGTGGTCGGCATAGCGGCCGCCAAAGAAGGTGCCGCAGACGTATCCGATGCCCGGCGCCAGGTAAAAGAGACCGGACTGCATGGGCGTCGTCAGGTGGAAGCGCGGGTTGAGCACATAGCGGATGGGTGTGAGCAGCGCGTACATGTTCCAGACGAGCGACGACGAGGCGCTGCCGGCCATGACGAGGTTGGGGTACACGAAGAGGCGGATGACGCGCACAGGGTTGAGCATAGGGCCCAGCACACGCAGCTTGCTGCGCAGCGGGTAGCCAGCAAGGCTGTCGATCTTGCGGTGGTGGATGGTCTCCGGCAGCAGCGCCAGGGTGCCGACAAAGGCGGTGCCGGCCAGCGCGGCCTGCAGCCAAAGGATGACGCGCCACGACTTGTACGTCACAATGATGCCGCCGACAAAGGGCCCAAAGGCTGGGCCCACGAGCGTGCCGGCCATGAACCAGCCCATGGCGGTGGCGCGCTCGGTGGGCCGGTAAATGTCACCGACGGCCGCCGAGCCGACCAGGATAAAGGCTGTGCCCTCAAAAGCAGACAGGACGCGGAATACGAAAAAGGCAGCGAGGTTCGGCGCGAGCGCAGTGCCTAATGTGCAGCAGAAGAAGAGAAACGACGTGGCCAATGTGATGGGGCGGCGACCGTACACCTCGCTCAGCGGACCCCAAACGGTCGGGGACAGGCCCATGAACAGCAGGTACAGGGCGTTGCTGATGTCGACAATGGAGCCCGTGCTGTGGAACTCGGCCGCGACGTCGGGCACGGCCGGCAGCACGGACGTACTCGAGATTGGCGCCAAGAGCGAGCAAAACGACAACAGGGCGACAATAGCCATTTTGCGGCGCGGCGCCAGACGGTCGTAGAACTCGTCGGGGATCTCTATAAACGACGACCAAGGCTGGGCCGGTGCATCGGGGCCAGCAGACGAGACGTGGGTCAGGGCAGACATCAGCTGCAGCTGTGTCTGCGTGGTGCCAGTGGCGCCACTGGCTTCCATGTCCTCCGTCTTCGCTGCCGTCTTGGCGGCCTGTGATCGTCGGACAATGTTCGTGTCGTCATTGTCACGGTCGTTGTCGTGCTGGGGCTGGACGGCTTCGAGGCCAGCGTTTTCTCGAGGTGAGGTAGAGGGCCCTGCAGGTTGCGAAGATGAGTTTATTTTACGTTCTGTGGGTGCTGTTTCGTTTGTCTTCTCGTCGAGCGCCTCTGGTTGAACACTCCGCTCCTGGCCATGATCATGCTCGTCATTTTCTTCGACCATATTGCGAAGACAGTGGCTGAAGCCTTTGGCACGATGCGGCAGAGGCAGGGCGTGAAAAATATGTTCTCGTGAAAGACAATTCCAGCCAGAAGGAAGAGTCTGAGGAATGGTATTCAAAGTTGAGTATCCCAGGACAAGCGACGTTGGTAAAAAATATGCGGAGATGCCCGGCGTGGATTCAGGTGGAAGATAGCCAGAACTGGATTGCAATCAGAATCTTGGGAAGTAGAGTGACTGTCAAGGCGGAAACGTCATTAGAATGGCAGATGGGAATGGCATCCATTTGGCCGATGGAGGAATTGAGTAGAACGTTGTGAAGCAGGACGATGAACGAAAATAGGAGGGAAAATTGAGACAAATGGCAAAAAAAGATTTACGAGTTCGAGGAGAATGAGGCAGAAAGTGACGAGTAAGTCTTTGGCACCTGCGGCAACGACACAAAAAAGACATATATCAGAGACGACCAAGAATAGTCACAAGAAGAGCAAGGACCTAAAAGCAGCCTGTCCTTATGAGAAGCTTCCACCCTTTCCCTGCTAGCTACCCAATTTGAGCCTCTCGCACACTCGTGGCTCCTATTGCGGCGGATCGACGGTGAGCCGCTATGCCGCATCCCCGGTTCTTATCCGGTCGACGGCCTCTACACTGTGCTGGACAAGGAAGGACAAATCGAGTCCCAGTCAAAACGCTCCAAAAAACGGCGGCGCGCCAATCTTCACCCACAATGGCTCAAATCGCCTTGGCAAACACTAAAAGCGAACCCTCGGACTGGTGCGTCCGCTCCGGTGTCCATCCGACAGAAGGGCCAGCAGTCAGCCATACAACGTGTTAAAGTAATACTCCGCAATCGTGCTGATGCACGACTTTGGTTTTTTGATTTCCTTGAATGGGCCAATTGCCGACACGGCGCCGATGTACCTCCGCACTACTTTTGTTGGTTTTACTGCTCCAGTCCTTTCTTTCCACGTGCGGTCCCTTTTGTTTCTCCTGATTGACTCAAGGACTGCTGCTGCCCTCGGAAAACAGCGGCTACAAACCAGAGAAAACTGCGAGACGGGAACAGAAATAGAGAAAATGTCCTGCTTCCACCTTTTGTATGTCCATTGGACCTTGGACCGCTTCAAAACAGAATGGGCTTTGACCTTGTCTTTCCGCTTGCCTGCCCGGCCAGGGCGACCTCCGGGCCGAGAACCGGCGAGGCAGGCCCGATCCGAGTGGAGTAGATGGCCAAAACTTCGTTTTTATTTTTATTTTATTTATTTTCGCTTTGAGCTATACCGACTGCCGATGTCCTGCATGGCGCCCAGAACACGGAACAACTAAAGCCAAAGCAATACATTGAGCGTTATGCCATCCAATCTTACTCGCTTGTCGTCTGTCGTCCTGTTTGTCGCCTTAACAAAGTACCGCAGCTCGCTTCTCTCATCGTGACTACTTCGGACAAGGAGCCCGCAGCGTTACAGTACAACGGCTGCAGCCGACAGCGCCACGCGATTCGCCGATTAAACTATTATGAACCTGATTCTCACATGTTGTAGACGAGTAGTCCTTGACTATTTCTTGTCATTCCATATACAAAACAGGTATGAAATCCTGAAGGAGAAGCATTCGTCCGATAATGGATACCCCCATCTTTATTGAGTCACTATGCCCCGTTGCCTCACAGTCCCATGGCCTTACCCTTTCTCTTCCCATTTCTCATTTCCGTGCTACCCAAAATAGCTGTTGCCTTGCCTCGCCCTCCTTTACATCCCAAAACCCCCTCTACGAAAACAGCACCTCGCCAGTGTAGATCCGGCACGACTGCGTCTTGGAGTCCTGCGTCCAGGAGAGGGGCACCGTCTGGCCTGTCGGGTCCATGGCGGGGTATGCGTGGAAGGCGTAGCTGTAGCCGTCGGGGAACCGCGGGATCTTGTAGATGGACACCGGCTTCGACCACCCACCCGTCAGCGACGTGCTGTGCGACAGGTAGAGCGAGTCGTCGACGGCCGCCGCACCGCTCTGGAACAGCATAATGTACTCGTTGTACACCGGGCTCCACCAGATGTCGCCGGTCGCGGGCCCATACCACTTGCCAAACGCGTCGAGCGAGAAGTCAAGCACGTTGGCGGCGCCGCCGTCGTCGAGCGCGGGCATCCGCGGGCCAAACTGCTGTCCGTCCCAGAACTCGTACTGCCGGCGGTCGGCAAACGCCTCGGGCCGCACGCGCGCCAGCTTGAGGCCGTTGCTTTTGTGGTTGGCGGCCTCGGACACGCGGCCAAACAGGTACAGGTAGCCGTCGCCCCCGTTGGGCATGAGGTCCGGGTGGACGATGCAAAACGAGCCAAACATGGGCTCGCCGACGTTGAACAGGTTCTTGACCGGCCGCGACACGACGGGCGTGCCCGACTGCGCGTCGAGGTGGATGTCGATGGGCGTGTTGTACAGCAGGGCAAACTTTTGCTGCTTGAACAGGTTGCGGTCAATGACCTCGGTAAAGGCCACGCCGCGCGTGCCGTTGGTGCCGGGCAGCGGGGCAATGTTGTGGTTGGGCCAGATGGCCGTGGCCATGGCGGACTCGCCCTGGTCGGTCAAGAACGGCACCGCCTGCTGGGGCCCGTGCGTCGCGTCGCCAAAATCCGTCACGCGCGTGAGCGTAGGCGGTCCCGACACAGCTCCGTCGCCAGCAACGGCAATCGAGTTGGACACGAAGCTGACAATGCGGCTCGGGTCCGTTGGCGGTTGGCCCTTGGTGTACATGCCGTCGGCAAAGATGATGAGGTGCTTACCGCCGACAACGCCACCGCCACCGCCGTCGCGGAAGACATGCGGGAAGTTCGACTGCTGCAGACCACAGGTGCGGAAGCTCGTCGTGATGTTGTCTACCTTTACGGGCTCAGACGGGGGGCCGGGCGCCGGTGGTCCCATTGGTTGCTGCTGCTGCTGGTGCGGGTATTGACCACCACTCTGCGTTCCCTCGTGATCATGGACCAAGCCCTTGGCCTTTTCTGTCGCTTTCTTAAACCAAGCCATCTTGTATGAGTGTCTTCTATGCTGCTGTGATTTGTCGATTTGCTGCGCTTTGAACAGTGCTTTTAATGGAGCTGAGTGGTCGAAACCTTAGGGCGTGCCTTTTCTTATAGCTGAATATGCGATGACGTATGCGGGGGGACCGCCAATAGTTGCAGACAGTGCCTAACAAGAGGATACTGTGCTGAGAATATGCTTTGTTTGCCTAGTCTGTTAACATCAGCTGGCAGTTTGTATCGTGTCGTTGAAAATCCGGTAGAGAAATCATTGACAGACGTGACTTACACAGGACTTATTTTCTGTGTCGCTTCAATGCCATCTTTCTCAGGGTCGTTGCCGTTGTACGACCGTACGTTGTAGTTGTCTAGGGAAGCTTCCCCACAGTGTGGAAAGAGGAGCTGCAAAGACAAGCTGAGCCTCGGATCGACAAATAAGAATGCATAGAAGCAGACATAGCCGTGCGGGAAAAGAACCGTTTCGGTATTGAATGCAAAAAACAAAAACAAAAACGATATATACTCGCACGAAATAAAACCCAATGGTATAAAATAACGCAAAACGTGACCAACAGAAAGAGAAAGCTTCCAAATCATCCCCTGCAACCAAGCTGTTCTCGGGCCTGAGCCTTTCCTGCATCTTCCCATCATCCATCTCTGCCACCTCCTCATTTCAATATAACAAATCGGTATCGTCGCTCAGAAAGGAAGGTTGAGAATTAATGGAGTCAAACCAAAGCAAGACCGGGCACAGATATCCTAAACTGCTTCCAAATAAAAAATAAAAATAAAAAAAAACGTCAAAAAGCTCCCCTCGTACAGTGTTGTAAAGTGTCACCAAAAAGTGAAATCAGCGAAAAATGAAAGAACAGGAAAGGTACAAAGACCCTCTCTTGACAACTGTCCGTCCGACCTCAAATAGGACTCTGGGGCATGCTCCGTACACCACTCAGATCACCGCTGCCCGTCCGTCGGAGCGCCTGCGACATGGTCTCCACCGAAATCTCACCAGCGCCGTTGCCGCCACCAGCGACCTGTAAGAGCGCACTGCCACTGCCGGTGCTAATGGCGGAAATCTTGGGCGACCGTGTGGGAGACCCGAGAGTCTTGCTCGGAGCGGCAGAGGGGTTGCGCTGCGGAGACAGATCCAGGTTCTTGACCGAGCCGCTCTTGCTAGCAGGCGGGCTCGTGCCGAAGCGGTCGGTGGTGGTCGGCGAGCGCATGGGCGACGGAGAGCGGTTGATGGCGCCGCTGAGGGCTGCGAGACTAGTCAGGCCCACCAGGCTGCCGGGACCAGCGGTGGCCTGCTGTTGCTGCTGCTGCTGATGCTCGGCCTGCACGACGTCGGCAAACGAGATAAAGCTGAGACGGCGCACGTCGGTGGTGTCAAAGGAGCCATAGTTCGAGGCGTTGTCGTCCTTGTCAGAAACAATACTGCTAGCAACGTCGTCGACCCAGGCGAATGTGCCGCTAGCAGCAGAGCTGTTAACGCCGCCGCCGCCGCTGCCACCACCACCACCAGCTACAGCAAGACCGGCCGGCTGGTGGTGTGCGTGGGTAATGATCTCGACGGTGTCCGGGTCGAGGTGGCCGTCGGTAATGGCCTCGGAGGAGGCGTCGAGGACGGGCGGAATAAAATTCTCGGTGGTAATGTGGGAGGGGATGGCAGGGGAGCCGGGCATGAGCACGCTGTTATTTTCTTGAACGTCGCGCTCAAAGATCTGCGAGCCGGCAGGCGACGACATGCGTGGCGATGACGAAAGCGCAGCAATACTACGGCCGGGCGAAGACGGCGGGAGCACGTAGTAGCCACCATAATTGGATCCGCCGGTTGTGGTGCTGCCACCAACGCCGCTGCTGGTAATGCTGGCACTCATGGGGCTGAAGTTGTCGGTCAAGATCGGCGAGGTGGGCTTGCGAGCAGGCACGTCCTTGGCGGGCGGTTTTGGCGCGACCCCGGTGTTGGACAAGCTGCCCGTCTTGGGAGGAGGCGGCGGCGGAGATTTTGACAGAGTGGGTGGTGGCAGGGAAGCGCCGGTGGCTGGAGAGGTACTGGTTGCCCGTGCTGCGGACGCGGCGGACGACGATGTGTCTGCTCCAGCGCCTTCGACCTTATTCTTGCCGAAGCCGAATATGCTACGACGCTTCTTCTGCTTCTTCTCGTTGGGGGCGCTGCCGGTCACGGCGGTCGCTTGCTCATCGTGGGCAGTCGAGGAGGAAGAAGAGGCGGCGATGGGCTCAAACGGCGGCGCCAGTGTCTGGCTGTGGCTGCTGCCGGTGTTGGCCAATGGTGCAGAGCCGGAGAGACTCATTGTGAGGAAGGCTACTTTCTCGGGAAACGTGACGTTGAATGTGGTAGCTGCCGGAAAGCAGTAGGTCTTTCGAGCCGTTCGTCAACGGCGATGCTATCGATCGTTCTAGTCGCAAAAATGTGTTAATCGGCGTGGACGAAAGGAGCGCTTGGAAGGAGCCGGTTGAAGTCGAGGGAACAAAGGGCGAGGGGGGGGGGATGTCGCGAATGAAATACGACGAACGGAAGGGGCCCGCGAAAAATAGGAATAGAAAGAGGGAGTGCTAGGAGCAAAGACGGCGGAAAGCAATTGTTATTTGCTCGTCGCGCTTTTCTTCGTGCTCTTGTCTTGTGCCTGTTACTGTGTCACTGCGGCGGCAGCCTGCTGGGCTGGCGGCTTTGCTTGCTCTTGCTTGGTTGGGAACGAAGGTCTGGGTGAGGCGGTCCAGGCCTGGATCACGGAGACACGGAGGCTGGGAGGGGTGAAATGATAGGAGCGACGATATAGCAACAGGGGGAGAGGGGAGGGAGTTGTTTGTTCCTTTGGTTCCTTTGGTTCCTTTGTTTCCCGGCTGAGAACGTGAATCACTTGACGGCGGGAAAAGGCAAATGGTAAAACGAGGAGGAGAGGAGCTTGTTTGATGCAGATTGCGGGAGGGAGTGCGAGGCAATAACAGTAAATGCACATCCAAGCGCAAATAGAAATGCCAGCTGCGATGGTGCGGACCTTTTTCGTGTGGCTTTTGCGTCGTCTCGTTTGTCCCGTTTTCGTTTGTCCCGTGTGACTTTTGGAGTTGTGCTTGCTTTGCGGATGCCTGCAGCAGGTTGGTGTCGAGGGTCGGTCACAGCTCTGGATATGTTTGTCTCGTCTTCCTATCGAATGTGGTCAGGGTTGTCGTCATGCCTGTCGTCGCGTCTCCCGTGCCCGTCTTCGATTTGTGTTTGTCTGTTCGAGATTGTGATGTCCGGTTGGTCCGAAGACGTGATAGATTATGGAGTTTGTGGCCGTCGTGTCGGTTGTCTCCCCTCTTTTCTGCTGTTGGCAGCGTTTTGTCTTTCTTGGTTTCGCAGTACCCGCAATGACTGTGGCAGGGTGGACATATGACGCAGCTCAGGGAAAGGGGGAATGGAATACGGAGAGCGGAGCACGACCCACGACCCAGGCAAAATGGGACCGCACCGCTGTGGATAACGAAACGAGCAGGGCCTGGCCCCCAATCAACGGTCGTAGCGCCCGAGTATCATACGTGCGCGTGCCAGAGAGACGTCAAAGGTATCTTAAGTCAGGGCCGCCAGTCCACTAAAAGAAATGGGGCGGTTAACTTGTCCTCTGTTTGGCCGTGATGTTTTTTTATCGTTTTGTAGCTTGGCCGTAGGTTTGGGGCAGCGCGATGGGTGGGACAGAGGAGCAATACGGCGTATTGGTATGGAGGAATTAGGCCGTGGTTTGGTGCGACACAAGAGTCAAATGAAGTGCAAATTGCGTCGCGTCAAGCGTGTTGGTGAGAACGCAAAGTAGCGAAGAGTCAGAGGGACGAAAGGAGTGAGCACGAAGATGGAGATTCAGACAATGACTACGATACAAATAGGCAGCGGTCGCGCCTTCTTAGCAAGGGATGAAAAAAGCGACGCAGCAAAGGGGGGAAGGAGCAAGGAAGAAAGATTCACAACAGAAGGAACTCGTGCAGGGAAGGAGCTGACCTATTACCAGGGGCGAAACGACGACGATGACAGAGAGTGGGATGGCGACACAAAAGGCAGCACGTGCGACCCTGTGCGGCCGGCACTAGGCCTATGACAGTCCACAGAAGGCGCTGGAACACCAGGCTCCTACCCTTCTGGGAAGAAGCATCGACGGCGCTTTTCGCCTATCAATCCGCCAGAGTCTTTCGTTTACGCTGAAGATGCAGCTGCCGCATGATACGGATGCCTCCCGTCTTTGCACTGGACGATAATAAAAATAGAGGTCACGGTGATGTGACGACCGGCACGGTGGATGTTTGCGGCTCAGTCGTCAAAGGCTCCGTCGTGGCGACAGCCGTTTGGACCTGTCGATTATGCTGAAGAACGACTGACAGATTGCTTAAGTATCTGTATGTATCTTTCGCTCAGATTATGGTATGATATACATGTAAATACTCGACACTCAACCAGTTAAATCCACCACAATCAAATGCACTATCAACATGCCGGCGACGGTTCCACCCAAACAAACATATCAACAAATGTTATGCTCCATACGATGCATAATAAGAAAAAATTAAAATAAAATACAACAAACAATTGGGACGGTATCAAGGCACGAATAGTATGGGCCCGACAGCCGCATTGACGACGGCATACACAAAACAAACTAGTCGACAAAACGGACAGTTTTGAAACAAACAACTTATACGCCCGTTCCGTCTAATACTGGCATTATGCCCGCTTAACGAGTAAACAAAATACAATAAACAGCCAGGGCTGACCAGGTCGGTTGTTTGTGTTGGTGACATTGCTGACGATAGTGGCGAAGCCCTGGCTCTTGAGACAGTGTAAAAGAAAAGTCCTGAAAAGACTGGCCCGACTATATCAAGGAGATCCTATGTAAATCGACAGGGGATGCATAATGAGGCACGGCAACACTACCGAGCAGCCAGCCGTCGTGCACGGTCTAGACGCAGTCTTGCGACGATACATTGGGCAGCAAACTCGGGCTTCGGCGACTGTTCTAGACG